GTGCGTTGTTTAGAGAGCGCAGCCGAGGAGAGTGAACTGACTCAGGGCAAGTGAGAATTCGAAAGAATTCAATGATTAACAGGGTGGAAATCTGGAACATGGGACCACCAGATTATATATCCATCACCCTAACGACTCGGTCACAGATATAAGTAGCCAATTTGACAAGAAATTGGATGAAATTTATTTACAAGTGAGGTTATACATGCATATAAAACCTTGAATGATTTATTACAAGTTAGATCACAACCCATCACATGCATATGCACGGCTGTCAAAATAAGTGCTTACATTGATCCTGTCAAGTGGACACAAAGACAAACCTCCGGCGAAAATATTTCTTGAACAATCATTATAAAGACTTTTATACAGAGAAATATCAAGGGTTCTGTTAATGGTCGTTATCTATGATTTATCGGGATACAGACGCACAGGTACCTTCGTCACACAAACATTTTTTGTTTGTATTTTCCCTTATGATGCACGGTTTAAAAACTAGTTGTTTCCGAGATAATTTGCGGTTAAGCTAAAGAGGGCTTCACCGGAAAATCAATGAACCACGAGCTGCTTACAAACAAGAAAAATACCAAATCAGAAACATATCAACAGGGTAATTGTATGAAGCGTATATATTTTATTTTTCCGCGTTTCCGATCAGAAGTTCAAAATGTGATAACCGAAGTGATACACTCGCTAACGGCTTATGTGTTACGTTATTACCTTATGTGACGTCATCTGTTATCTATAACTAATTATATAATAAGCTCAGTTATGCATGTATTCTATCTGGTTCTCACTTATGATCTATTGGAGGACAGACGTATAGATGACGTCATCATTAAAACTCTTTTTAATTCTTTATTATATAAAACAAATAGATTCCAAGTTGCCGTGCGTCTGTTCAGTAATAGATCACAGAGGACGTCAAAATGTGGTAAGAACATCAGTGACACACTTGGCTGCGCCTCGTGTGCCACTTTTTTGTTCTTACCACATTTTGACGTCATCTGTGATCTATTACTGAACAGACGCACGGCAACTTGGAACCTATTTGTTAAACAGACACACGGCAAAAATTAATTTACCTTTTAAAAACATAGCACTAAGCTAAGTCCTATAAAGCTGTGCCTAAACATTTTAAGGCTACTCGGAACTGATTTTGGTGCCAATGAAAAATAGCCCATAGCTAAATATCTATGTAACCTAGCTGAAAATATTTTGACTGATTCACTTAGACAATTGCTATACAACTGCGAACACAACAATAGTTCTAGACATCTTGCCCGTGTGCACTTCACCTTAAAGTGAATTAAAAATTATTGACAAGGAAAATGCTACAAAAACAATGCCAAAAAATGATCTTAAAAATTACAATTTAAGGGTCCAGAGAGGCCCTTTTGGCAGAAAACTGTATGAAAATAGGTAGCATCTGTCTCAACATGCTACTCACTAAAATAAAACGTTTAACTTGATAGAGAAAATTTAATTTAGCCGGCTTACTAGACGATATGTAAATTTCCTTGTTTTTAGACAAAGTGCAAAAGGCAAAAGCCAAAAACAGTGGCTAAAACGGTAAAGAGATAAGGAAAGACAAAGGAATCGGTTATTTTCTTAGTTCATTCTTATTTTCCCACTAACTGTGTTTTAGAAATGGGATTACAAACAAATACTGTATTTCGCAGAAATACTAATTTTCTTGATGTTAAGTTACCTATAAGTTTCTCATATACCTAAGAGAAGTTCATATTCAGTAGCACTGCCATCCTTGATCTGAATTTTTTTCTCTGCTCAAGTTTGCCATGTTGACAGGCAAATAACACAAAACTGTTCCTCTTTCGACTTTAGCTAGATCTCCCCAACCACTTAAGTCAACTTGATACATTTCCTCAGGTGGAATTCTTATCCCACTGTTAACTGGAAATTTGTTGATGATGAAATACACCCTCCCCTCTATTTCAACTGCACCCAAGTTGTTTGGGGGAATATGTTTCTGAGGCACTACAGACCAGGTGTTAGTAGTTTCATTGTACACTTCCACAGGTGCAGGTTTATGAAAAACCCGTTCATTTTCCCAACCCCCCGCCACACATAGTCTGTTACTGACAACCAAAAGACTGGATTCAAAATGAGGATGGCAGGTTGACGCGAGTTTTTTCCACAAATTATATTTTGGGTCAAAACAATGAACCACAGCTGGTTCATTGACCCAACGGGTGTCACTTATTCCAATTTTATTTCTTTGATAGCCATGAATTACATATATTTTAGAGTTCATCACTGTTGCTAATACAGTACTGAACGTCTCCAACCCTTCTTTTACTTCTAATCTTACTCCACCTTGCCAACTGTTATTTGTCAAACTGTACCTTTGAGGAGGATTTGACTCACTAATGGCGTAAAGATAGTCACCAACGGAACACAAGCAGTCAACTTTGTGATTGTTTCCTTCCTCTGGTAATTCAACCCATGAGTTATTTACCACATCATATCGCTCTATGGAATTAACCTTGTTATGCTTCTGTCTAGCTACAAATAAATAGTTTCCACTGCGTTCAGCACAAAAGTACGAGCTAGTTTCTTCATCTGATTGTGCTACAAATGGCAAAGGTGCCCATAGCTTCGCTTTGACATCAAAGTAGTAAGCTATACTCTGCACTGACCTGCGATTATACGAACCGTCCTTGATGCT